TTACAACACGCGTAAAATATAGCGAGCCTTCGTCGAACAAATGGATGAAACTCTTACCGCGGGATTGAGGTTTTAACGTCGATTGTACCAATTGCTCAATTGCATTTATGTTCTAAGATTTTTCAGAGAAATAATTTGTAAAAGTTTACGAGCTGCTATTTTTTATCACGGATCTTTGATCGAAAAAATAAGAAAAAAATACAATTAATCGTGCAATTATTTCGTTGATACAGCGTTTAAATATTGAGCAAATAGCGCTGTGTTTGTATAATATATCAATGCAAATAATAATTAAAAATCGCGAAAGTTGCGAAAACATAAAATATCTTAGTAGTTTATGAAGGGCTTCTATAAAAGTGTGCATGTAATACATCTAGTTTATCAACAACATACTTGGGGAAAATAAATTGGGAATATTTCAAACTGTGATTGAATTGTGACGTCATTTCGTGAGGTCATTTTCTGTAGTCGAATAAGAAATATATGGCAATGCCCAAGTGTTCCTCATATCGTAGAAATATCAGCCGACCGCGATCATTGAACTTTCTCAACACAATTCGCCCCTAGCAATGTCTACCTGTCACATTGCGCATCTTTTTCCGCACCTCGTATGCTATTCTGACTTTTTCTTTGGGAGTTTTATTTTAGCCCACAAGAATAGCGCGTCGCGAAAAGAACAGGTCAAACTTGCAAAGCTTTTGCGATATATATCGTATATATAGTTATATATATACAAAATGCAATACTGATACTCAAAAAAAAAAGAAAAGAAAAGATTTGATATTTATCGTATATAATTGTCGTGCACTGACAATGAGAAAGAGTGCAATAAAGGCATACTATGTACCAAAGAGGCTTTTACAGAAATCAATTTTAAAGAAACAGCATTACAGAAGGCACTCGATGAGCAAAACAAGTAGCGATATCATCTTTAATGGCATACACGAAAAAGCTTTGAACTTGGATTATTTCGACTGGGCTTTCTCGCATAAAATCATTCACGAAAAGAATAGAAAATAGGTTGTATTCTAAAACAATGCCCATATATTAATTATAAAACTATATTATATGTACATATATGATATAGTATGCGCGGTTAAAGATTTAAAAACCTTCAATAAGTTGTCGGCGCAAATTAAATTCAAAATTTTGTATTTGCTATGCGAATTTACACGTTCGCTGACATACTCTTTGCCTCTTTGTCATCATTTGCGCGGCAGGTTTACGAATGACATCGGAATCGTAACGGAAGTTAAATACGGACTATCGGATAAACCGTGTGTAAACGGAAGTCGGATTTCTAATTAAAAGCGGATGACCCGTGAAAACAGTGATGTCGACTGGCGCCCTAATGTACATCTAGCGTAACCCGCATCTAATCCGTGAACCGCGTTTAACGTAAAACGTCCTACATACGAGAAGTCCGCTATGCAATTATGCGAATGTTTGAAATATGGGGAAAATGAAATTAGTCGACTGCGGAAGGCAAATTATCATGAGAGATATAATGCCAATCTGATGACATTAGATATCGCTATCCGTCGAAAGAGACGGTATTCGATAATTTTCTTGACGCATGTTCGAAAAATATTGGTTAAAATATTTTACTCCGCAAATTTTAATTCTTAATTTATTGATAAAAATGATGAAAATTGATGAATTTATGATCAAATTAATACAAGACATATCTATCTTTGGAACAAATTTATATCAAACATTCTAATCAGAATCTATCCTGTATCTTTCTCTCTGGGCAAATTTTGAGAAACTTCTACACAAATTAATCTTAAGATACGGATACTTTTAATATGATTGCTTCCACTACGCGAGATAATAAAGATATCGATGTTCTGTATCGATAGATTTAACGTTCAAATTATCATCGGTACGTTGCTAATAACAATAGTTAAGGCACTCGATGAGCAAAACAAGTAGCGATATCATCTTTAATGGCATACACGAAAAAGCTTTGAACTTGGATTATTTCGACTGGGCTTTCTCGCATAAAATCATTCACGAAAAGAATAGAAAATAGGTTGTATTCTAAAACAATGCCCATATATTAATTATAAAACTATATTATATGTACATATATGATATAGTATGCGCGGTTAAAGATTTAAAAACCTTCAATAAGTTGTCGGCGCAAATTAAATTCAAAATTTTGTATTTGCTATGCGAATTTACACGTTCGCTGACATACTCTTTGCCTCTTTGTCATCATTTGCGCGGCAGGTTTACGAATGACATCGGAATCGTAACGGAAGTTAAATACGGACTATCGGATAAACCGTGTGTAAACGGAAGTCGGATTTCTAATTAAAAGCGGATGACCCGTGAAAACAGTGATGTCGACTGGCGCCCTAATGTACATCTAGCGTAACCCGCATCTAATCCGTGAACCGCGTTTAACGTAAAACGTCCTACATACGAGAAGTCCGCTATGCAATTATGCGAATGTTTGAAATATGGGGAAAATGAAATTAGTCGACTGCGGAAGGCAAATTATCATGAGAGATATAATGCCAATCTGATGACATTAGATATCGCTATCCGTCGAAAGAGACGGTATTCGATAATTTTCTTGACGCATGTTCGAAAAATATTGGTTAAAATATTTTACTCCGCAAATTTTAATTCTTAATTTATTGATAAAAATGATGAAAATTGATGAATTTATGATCAAATTAATACAAGACATATCTATCTTTGGAACAAATTTATATCAAACATTCTAATCAGAATCTATCCTGTATCTTTCTCTCTGGGCAAATTTTGAGAAACTTCTATACAAATTAATCTTAAGATACGGATACTTTTAATATGATTGCTTCCACTACGCGATAATAAAGATATCGATAGATTTAACGTTCAAATTATCATCGGTACGTTGCTAATAACAATAGTTATCTTTTATCTTTCTGAAATGATATAACGCGCGCACAGAAGCATAATGATCGTTTCGTTACACGAGTGACGGCGTGTTTCACGGGAGGACAATTTGATTTGTCTTGCAGACACGCGTCGCCCTCGATAACGATCTCGATTACTCCTACCCGAGGCACTGCCTCGCTCACGCCGATTAGAATTGATCCTAATTACACCTCAGTGTAAATCCCGTATTAGAAGACTCTGCGATACGCGGGGCGGGACGCAGCATTACTTGGGCTGTTGCTCGGAGACGCGAATACCATTACCGGCGTCAGATCTATTTAATTGTTGCTAATGCCAGTCCTAATGATCCGTTTCCAATCCCCAGTCCGATTACAAACCCAGGTTCCGCCGATTTTCACCAAGTTCGATACAAATCGGAAATACATCGAGCGTAAATCTCTCTTATCTTGAGCAAAGTAGAATTATACGAAGCATTAGCAAGACATTTTCCAAGTGTTTGGGAGAGAGCCAGATAAGATCTTGTCTTCTTTCTTAAAAAAAAAAATCAAAATTCCTCAAAAATAAAATATTGAACATGTGTTATATTTTAAGCGCTGTAAAAAAAAAAGACAGCGAGAAGATGTAAAGAATTTCTTGTAGCTCAAATCTTTGGAAAGATCTATTAAAAGCTTGAAATGGCTTCGTGAGAAAGTGGATCGATAATAATGAAATCCGTACCGTTGCTTAGAGCATCCGAGTGAGAGTCCAGGAATCTAGGATCGGTGTAAGTTCGTCGTTGGCGACAGCTTTGTTTAATCGTCACCTAATGTCTCTAATGTTTCGGTCTTACCCTTCGTTCGTCCAGGGAAATTGCCTCGCGGTACAGTCCTTCCCGGAGATCTAAGTTACACTGAACGTAAAGCTTGATCTCTATTGCGAAGTTCTCAGCTCGACCTCGCTTTGACGTCTCTGTGTAGGATCAACTGGATTGTTGAATCAGCGAATTGCCATTCGATGTTTGCGGAATGTGCATAGATCGTTGTGTGTTTATAACCACAGATCAACGGGCAGCTCCGTATAGAAAGGACGTTCAAATCCGATTGATCGAGCCCAAGCCCGTTAATCGTGCCACAAGGATACGTTAATGATTAGAAATACAACCTATGTGCGCGTATGTATATTTAGCGGATCATTAATAACAAATGTCCCCCCGATTAAACTATCCGGATATATTTACGGTATCAAACAAGAACTAGGAAGATCATCAATCAGATTACGGTTGAAATGTATCGTTGGACTTCAAACGTATGTGCATCGTATGTACATCATATAAATATTACGACACCACTTTATATACAGTGTCTCAAAATGTACCGAATGTCTTTTTAATAGCAGATTCTCTGATCAATTTGGAGATAATTTTTCTTTACTAAAAATGTCCAGGCAATAATTTCCGAATTATAAACGGTTGAAAAAAGGATATTTTTCGTAAATTTTATAAAGTTAAAAGATTAACGAAACTATACTTTGCAGTTAATTTTAGATGAAATTTATTTTAAAAGAGAATTTTATTTTGTTATAAAAATATATGATAGATAAAATTGCAAAAAGTGACTTTTTTAACATTTTCGCTAAAGAAAACCGACTTTAAATTGACTAATGAATGTGTTAAATGCTTTTAAAAAAACATTCGATGGTTTTAAAATACTCTATACACAAGCATGTAAAATGCTACGTGTCATTTTCATGTAAAAATTATCTCCATGCGATTATAAAGTGAATTCGATTCTCCCGATATATTTCGAATGGACTATTTTCTCTCAAAAGAGATTTATCGGAAACAGACGTTTCGGGCATAGCCAAGGCTATTGGATTAAAGTGATAAAGATTGCTTACTGCCACATCCGACAACGCAAGACTCTCTCTCTTTACTTTAATACAACTTAATTCTTTTTAATTAAATGCTGTCCTGATATCGTTCTGTGTATCTTCCGAAAACACTTTTCTAATTTTTTTTCTTTTGTTAAGTAAATCTCTATTGCGCTCGTGATAATCGCGCTAAAAAACGAATGTAAATGATATTCGATATTATCAAAATTTTGAAAGAACTTATCGTAGCCACGTACCTTAACCAGTGCCTCTTTGTCAGAGCTGTATGGCAGCAGATGGCATCGTATTGATCGGCAAGCCACACTATCAAGATTATGTAAAACGCGGTGGTCGTGTCATTGAAAAATTCGGACATAAGCGCCTCCATTCCTGAAAAAAAAAGACAGAAATATCCTGTGAGTAAATCTAAAGAAAAGCTTTCGCTTTTCCTCTTAATATTTCATATTAAAAATGAGACCTGTTTTATGTTTTCGATTTGAAATCGGACATTTACAAATTACGATGGTAAAACGCGTGCGCGTGAAAAGTACAGCATTTAAAATATAGCACACATATATTTTTAACATACATATTTTGTCTTTGTCCATTATATATATGCCGTTGATTGGTAGAAAATACATGCATGGTAAAGGGAAAAAATGAAAGTAAATTAATTGATAACACACACCGTTACGCTTATTTAATAGAAAATCTCTTTCAGTCTATCTGTCGCGTCGCGAAATAATCAAATATATACGTATATAAATCGCAACATATTTAACCAATTTTCAACTGCGTACGTCATCAACTATATTAAAATATTAACATTGTGAGTAAGAAGGCTAGAATATTGCCTCCATCTGTCGTTGACGCGCATGGCAATTAAAGATTCGTTATATCGCCATTGTTATGATTTTTCTATACTGCAATTGTGATCTCAAGTTCTCATAATCTTGTAATGATTAATATGTCACATTATATATAAATGTACAAAATATATATTTAAAATTGTATTAATATAATAATTTGCAAATTTAAAAAAAGATAATTGCTTGGTAATTGCGATCAGATGCTATCGATATATCAATATTCGATGCTATTAATATCGAATAGTTTCTACGCAATTAAAACTGCAACCAACGTGTACCGTATTCGCGAGAATCGTTTTGCATGAATTTAACACGCAGGTATACGGCCATTAATGATGTAAAAACGATGCGTCGCATCGATTCATCTTATCATTCCGCGAACGTTAAACGTTCAATCTTACTTAACAAGTGAAATATTACCGCGAATTATAAAACAGGAACGTGCGATGTAAATACATGCGAAATACATATGTATACGATATATTCTCTAGCGTGTTTCCTAATGGATTGTAACGATACGAGCACCCATGGGAAACCGTGCGGAAATGACAAAAGTATTGTAGGGTGTGCCCTGGCCGGATCACGAAAGTGCGAAAACGACCAAGTTGAGGTACGTCGGCCAAGACTTGATTAATGACAATGCTGAAGGCCTTTCTTCGGAATCGAGGAATCGGGATACGATTTATGTCTTTCGTCAATATATATTTTGGTTAAATTTGAAAAATAATTGGTCTCGTTATATATATGCGAAAATAATTAACGGACATGCGGACTTTCTTAAGAATAAACGAGTGTGGTACGATTTCAAAAAAAAAAAATATACAGGATAAAATAACAATTAGAAAAATCAATCCAAAATAATAGCCGAGTAATGAATTGCTTTAAGCTTCGAGCCGACGAGACTCGCGCGAGACAGAGTAAATATGACATACGAAGATTGCGAAAAGCAAAGAAAAGCATTCTCGTCCACGATTGCTACCCTCTGTTTACGCTCGCGCACGTGGTCGAGCCGGTATTGGCTCCGAGTCGGTTTTTCGAAAAATGTTCTCGTAAGAGAGCGCGTATATTACTCGCGGGGGATCGTGGCAGTGTTAGATGAAGGTGCCCGCAGGCTCGCGCAACCAGCAAGAATGGATGATCCCGAGACTAAGGGCGCGACATTAGATAATTAGTTTCTCGATCGGACACACAACGCGACAGAACACGTGAAAGAAAACAACGCCGCGGGAATGCTAATGAGCCGGGCCCACGTCGTTCGTATCCTCGCGGATGTACACAGCCGGGATACAAAAGTACAAATCGACCAAGAGACGTGGTCTGACAGCGCTCACGGAAGGAGGGGAAAAAGGGGGCGACACGACAACGTGAGAAATTACTTCTTAAGAGAACGAGGGCGGCCGTTGTCTCGCGAAGAAAAGAAAAATCACTTATGCCGCTATTGTAACGTAATGTTGCGTTCGCATTGGGATTCTTATACAAATGTACAAGCTGCTCGCAAATTATCGCGCTTCTTTACTTTCGCCTATGGATTCTTCGACAAATTTTTGTAATTGATTTGTCCTTATCGATATGTCAGAAAAAAAAAAATTATAAACGAAATTGTTATTAACCTTTAACAAATCAAAGCTTGAACTTTGCTTTTTATCGATACAAAGAAATAGAGAACTAATTAATTTCAATACACTTTTCCTCCTATATTTTTCCTAAATACCTTGGGAATAATAATGTAATAAACTTTATATTTAAAAAAAAATATATATATTTAGAGAAAATCGAAAAAGGAAGTTAAAAGTATCGAGAAACATATCATATTGTGTGTCAATGTTTCACCAGCTAAAAATTAAAGTAATGCACATTTGAAATTCAGTAGTACGATTTTGTCAACAACCAGGTGGCCAGCGGCGACTCATGAATCGTGTCCGTCGAAAGAATCGTTAACATCGGATAATACGCGGATAATGCACTCGTTTAAATGCATACTAGTCGAGCATTACCTTACCGTGTAGATAAGCCTCTAACGCGATATCCTGGCCGAGCATACGTAGGATTCACCGTCTAACTCCTGATCTCATCCCCCTCTTCCCATCTTCTCAATTTTTATAAAGAGATGTTCAAATTCCAATAATCTCTCGTATAACGCTAAAATTGCACGGTGCAATTATATGCTCCGATTTATGTTACCAGCATTTTTATCAGAATATAGAGATTGGAGCGTAGTCACGATTATTTCACAAGCGTTAATTAGATAAGTTGTGTACTATTTCATCAATGATAAAAAAAAAAATCTCTCTTTGACGAAAGCGCAATTTTCCATTCGTATTCGGGGCCGCAAATCGCTCGAGCTTAGATGGTTAAAATGAAAGCCATGGAATGTTCACGTGAACCGAATGTTGCTAATAAACGACTGTGCAAAATACCGGCGTGGTCCGAATCGACGAAATGGCGCAATTTTCCAACTGCCGACTCTGACTGCGAATTCGCGAATCATGACAACGTGCATGGTCGACGTGCAAGCTTTCGCATAATTGAGTAACACGTTATTGTTGCCGGTTCATGCCGCCCACGGTTCGCCGACACTCATCGTCGGTCGATCGAGCGTAAACCTGGTCCTTATAAACAACGATAATTCGCAAATTTGTTCTTGTTGATGTAATAAACGATAACAGGAATTGAATGGCGACAAATAAAGGCCGTTGGCCGTTTTAATTATAAGAACAAAACAGATTTATCATTTTCGAATAGAAAACGAAGGAGCTTTGGTATACGCGAGCAAATTACACGACTTCTGAAAAGGAGACGAGATTTCACGCCCCCGTTCGAATATGTATATATAGCGCAAAATTTTCATACGCGATACGAAATAATACTGGAATGTACGTCGCACGCTTTCCGAAGAGCTAATAATGTGGTTAATCAATGGTCAACTGTGTACGGCCATCGCTCACGTGTCATCGGCATCGAGTAGAGCCTGGCCGGTGCCAATATTCCGCGCAGCCCGGCAGAATCCCCATCCCCATCCTCATCCCTCTAATGGACATAATATTTCCCGCTAACCGACCACTGCGAACATGTTTGAGCCTGATCGGACGCGAGATTGAACGCCTATTTGGTTTTGATCGAACGCAAATGAATACAAGTCCTGGATCCTTATGAAATTTTTTCGTCAACCGAGATTCGAAGCACAAGGATTGTACGCATAAACCAATTTTACTTAAATCTGCAAAAATCATCCGCGAATAGAGAGAGAGAGAGAGAGAGAGAGACCATTGTTTCAAGAGCCTCCCAAAAAAAAAAAAACCTTTTAAATGTTTTAAAAAATGTTTTATACTCAAAGATATATATATATTATTTTATAGATCCGTTACTAATAAGGATCTCAGTTACAAAGTTGTACGAGTCGGAATTCCCATCGAAAACACATTCGCGTCGTATAAACTCACTGTATAAACTCGCAGATCTCCTTTCGCGGAATGACTGTTGACGTGAAATAATTAGAAGTGAAATCATGCTCATCAAAGCACGGAAGATTTAGTCAAGGACCAATCAGGACTAGTATTAACCGTCGTACGTCGAGGAGCAGAGCGACGTAGGTATCGTAGAGTAGCAGATCCCGATCAAATTATCCGCCACTATACTAGGATCTTCGCTCTGCTGATGCTGCATTGTACCAGAAACGGCTTTAGAGCCGGAGAGAGGCAAAGGGATATAGACTATGGTTTAATCTGGTCTAGCGATCGCGTGATTTAAGCCAAGTCCATGGCATACGTCGACGCCTCGTAAACATTGGCGAGAAAACGAGAATAATATCATCTGTTGCTCGTATTAGAAAAATACGCGACTTTGAACGATACGTACCTAGTTGCGTGAAAACATTTCGTCAAAAATAATTCGCACGAATTTTTTAAATTACGTTACGATTATCTCATTCTATACGTACTTTAGATTTGCAATTTAAATTTTTTGCGTTTTTATCGCGATTCCAGTTCAACGATTAAAGACTATCCGCTTTAATCCACAAACATCGAGATGCTCGCGTTCACGCGCCTGTATAAAATATGCTAATATGTATACGGGCAGAGCTCCGCCGACGTTGTAAGCAGATAAACGGAATGGCAACGGGTGCAACGTGTTCTGACCGTCTCTGAAAATGTGTTTACAGCGTGTTAGGCGGTCGATCATGCGTCACTGATGCACAGAGGCGCCGTTGCTTTCGTTCTTTGACGTTCCATTATGCAAAATCGTCTTCCACGTCTTCCACCTAATGCCAAATGCCGAACGACGCGTGGACGATTTGACGTGAATTCACGCTGATGATGCCGCGGGCAACCGCCAGACAAAATACTGCCCATCGACGACGAACACGGGGACCGAATATTGAAAAAGAATACGCCAAGCCGAACAGCAGATAGCGTTGAGAAAACGCAAAACGCAGAGGGATATAACATGTAATATCAACACTAACGTACGTAAATATCGATTTCCGAGTTATTTATAAATTTAGAAAATACAAAGATTCTCCTAAGATAATACATACATGTATAACAAAATCTTGCTTTAATATCCAATTTAAAAGGGTCGATAGAGAAAAACTAAATTTCTCTCAATAAATTTTTGTTTTTCCAAAAAAAAAAAAAACTTCAACATATCTCGAAGCATTCCCAAAGTTGCGATTTCATCTTATGCTTCCTATATGCTTATTATCGCAAAAGTCGAGAAAAGCGAAGAGAAAGATACAGAAATACTGAAATAAGGAAAAGGATACAAGTAACGATATATCCTCTTTGACTCCTTCCCGCTTCCCCTTTCCAAAGGCAACATGCGGCGAAGGAGTGAAAGGTTTGGGAGGCTGAAAGAACCGCGGGATGACGGATGGAGAGCAGGAAGCGATACAGGAACCGGAACCTATTACTCCAGATAACAACTTCCCTAAGGCTCCCTTTCCTCCTCTTACTTCCTCCAACTACGGGCTTCCTTGACTCCATGTATGTACATACATACATACATACGTGTGTGTATATATATATATATATATATATATATATATATATATATATATATATATATATATATATATATATATATATATATATATATATATATATATATATATATATATATATATATATATATATATATATATATATATATATATATATATATATATATATATATATATATATATATATATATATATATATATATATATATATATATATATATATATATATATATATATATATATATATATTTCGATTTTTGTACATACGATCCTCGGCAATCCCTCCTGCAACAGGGAGGAAAGGGAACGGGGGTGCGGATCCGGAAATTTACCACTTCTGTTGCCAATTCGCTCGGCTGCCTGTTGACCGCGCAACTGGTGGTATATAAATGAATGGATTCCCCATATCGGACTACATATAAATTGGCAATTTTTATCGAAATCTGATAGATATAGTTGTCATCTTGACCTCTATTCATCTAAAACTAATAACTAACGATACTATAACATTAATAAATAAGATGAAAATATCGCATTATGTCGTGAGAGCGCACGGTGTGTTAAGAGATTTTTGACATAAATTATAAATATCTACGTTTAAATATATGCGTTTTTCAATACATCGGAAATAAGCCGAAATAAAGCTCTCTAGCTTAAAATCATAAAACCGGTATTCTCTCTCTCTCTCTATCATTTTACAATCGCGTTATCGCAGAAAGAAACTTTAAATGCGAGAGCATTCGCGGGTTACAGGAACGGATTGAACATTAAAACTCGTTAACGACTGAGAGAGGTACACTCGTCGAGCGGAATAATTCGTACAGTCGTACAAAAACAAGGAGCCAAAAGAGGAAACGAAGATTGCAAATTCAGTTTTATCAATGTTTCCAGAGGCGGACGGAGAGCCGATTAGCGTACGTCGTATTTTATGCAGGTCAATTGGACCGTTGGTGTCGGTGGACACGTGAAGAGGAGATATTCGAGGCGAAATGGAAATGGGCGACGGCATGGACGCCCGGCGCCAATGCCGCTGCTAAATGGGCTCCGAAGCGGGTTACCCAACTGTTGCGCCTTCATCAGAAATTTATGCAGAATCCTGGGTTAACCGTCCCGGCCAATCAGCTTTGTAACGGAGCTAACATCCTACCGACGAGAGAGCGAAGGCACACGCGCGGCCCTGATTTAGTAAAAAGGTATTTAATATTTCACGCCATACGAGCCGTCGCGAGACCAAACTTCAACCTACTCCGTTCGAAAATTCGTCGCCGATTGTTTATTCGGATGGCTGAAACGGATGACTTTTTATGGAATCTCGTCTCCGAAAAATTGCGACGTAAAAAAAAAAAAACGCGCGCCAGAATCCACGAAATGTTTGCACTTGAATGTAAAGTACAGTAGACATGTAAATGCTATTCAACATTCGGAAAACTTTAGTCATATATATATATTTGAATTTTGTATTAAAAAAAATCACATTCTACAGACAATCTATTTCCATTTAAAAAAACTCTACATATAATATGCATATTTAAATTTTTATATAAAATTAGTTTTTCTTTAAAGCGAAAGAAAATATTCCCCGCAAGAATAAAAGATACGCGCTAATAAAGTAATTTAAACGGATTTCCAAAATAGAGGCATATGTATAACTTACCCACTAATGCCAAAATTACTGTCAATAAGGAAGCTGCTGGCAATGACACAGTTAAATTAAATTCCAGCATTTGTATGAGATCAACTGAAACAGACAGAGGAAATGTATGTTAGAATATTATGTGTATATAAACAAAAAGAAAGAATATAATAGCTTATTTCTTCCGATAATTATATACACGTACACGCCGCCATCGTGCGTAAATTTATCGCGAGAATAAAATGTTACGTGGAAATCGTTATTCCGGTCGAGAAACGGCTTGAATTTAATATTTATCAGGCACATCGTGGTGAGGACTTCGCGAGCGGAAGGTTATTACATAAGTTCAGCAACACCCCGTGAAGGAATCGCGTCGCGTTCGACGAGTCGACTCAAAGCTTGATACGAATTAATTTCGAAACTTCGTCAATCCTGATTTAAATTCCACGAAACTTTCTATCGACGCTTTAAGTCGTATACCTCGTATTGATTTATCTCTTACATCTCTCGAATAAATATACCAAAGAAATATATATGTATATAATATGTACCAATATTATGTAACCCATCGAGAAAGCATTTCCTCCTCCCCTCTCCTTCACACACACAGCTATTGTGTATGATCGCAAGATCCAAAATTGATTTAAGAGCGCGACAACTTTGTGTTTACAATACTTTCGGATAATTCGCAATATCGGTCGCCTTGCAACCTTGTTGTACTGGATAGAACCAGAACTCGAGGATTGATAAAAAATTCATAATCGTACCCGCCATGGGTGCAACAAAGCAATTAAAAAGTTAATACCGCCACTTGTCGTGGACGAGGTCACGCAACTTATCGCGAACCGCGCCTTCTTTATAGGCCACACGGTATATCGTACTTTACAAATTTGCGCGACACACCTTGCACGGTTCAATTTAATGAATTTTAGATTTTAACTTATCGTCCACTAACTCTCTCCACCCTCCGGTTATTAAAACTTGCCGCGATCCTTCGTCCTGTCTCGCATAATACTTTCTCTAACCAGGGCCACACGTGTATCTTACGTTTATTCTCTTTTCTTATGTTCACACTGCTCTACCCGTTTTTCGCGCTTCTAATTAGACCGAACATATATACTTCATTAAATATATACTATATACGCAGTTGTAAAGCTCATGTCTAAGTAACCAAGTTATATCGATTCGACGATAGCAACGAAAGGTGTTTAATAACGAAGAAGTTTAATATAAAGTTTATTTAGAATTATGCATTTTTAATTTTCGCAAAAAACAAATATCTTATTTTCCAGTTCAATCACGTTCTTCCTTTGACAATCTGATGCAAGTTTCTTAGAAAAGAGCATTCAAATGCAAATCAAAAAGTTTCAGTTTTATGCTAAAATTTCAAGTAAAAAAGAGAGAAAAAATAATAATATAATTTTTATCCACTCCTAATCTGATTACGAATAGAATATTAATAATATTCACTCCTAACCTGATTATGAATAAAATATTAATAATATTCTAAGAGATAACTTTATAAACATATGGAATATTTTTGGAGATGAATAATATACTTATTGTTAGAGATAATTTTATATATTGCACACACAGCATATTGCTACGGATATCAAAAAATAATTCAGAAATTTATTTTTTAATGTATTGATCTTCTTCGAATAAAAATTTTTGTGAATAGTTTATTACAAAAATACTTTTCAATGTAAAGCATAAATTACTGATTCTGAAGCATTTAATCTTATTCATATCATTAAAGCGATTTGATGTCTTATTAATATCATGAAAAACACACATAGTATGTGATTGAATAATATATACAATTTTCAAAATTATAATTTGAATTTTCAAGAAAATATATAATAAGAAAATAGGAAAAGAATAAAAAAATTTAAGTCACTATTAACAAAACAGACTACCAAAAGTATCATAAACATATGAACAAAATATATAGAATAAATGTTGGCCAACATCCAAAACTCGCAGATGGATGAAGGAAATATGCCGCCCCTTGCGCTGTTTTTCTATGCAAATTTGTATTTCAAACGATTAACCTGCGAAAATAACCTCCCTCGTCGCCGCTGTTTAAACTTTCAAGTTTCCCTTTCCCCTTTTTCTTTTTTAAGCCAGCTCCCGTACAGACCGTGAAAAAATCACCAAGCACGTGCCATTTTATCAAACTTACCAAAAAAAGCAGCGAGGTCCGATTAAATAAAAATCAAAGCTCCCCGACTCATTTACGATTAAATTTTAAGTTTAAAATGATGTGCAGATACGATCGCTTAAGAAGTATTAGCCCAAGGAAATTACACATTGCAAAAAATATCGATTATCAATTCTAATTAACTTATTGCTTATTTCCAAATATGAATTACACCAATTAAGTCCGCTTTATACGCTTTATCCGCTTTATAATTCGTCACAAAATTCAAGACAAAATGTTATAATTTTATGTGCCACATGTCCTAATGTATATTTTTATATACATATATATTTTACTTCTTCAAATGTATGATATATATAATAAGTAAAATTATAAATAGAATTCTGTCCCGATTTCTATCGCAGATTATAGATTATCTAAAGTAAGCTTTAGAGTACAAATTTCTGACAACATACAATCTAAAACGTTGGAAAAACATCACCAATTAGCAAAAATAAAGGAAACTAAACGTTAAACATTATTTCGAGTATTATTTAGACTACAAATATGAACATTAACTAATTTTTGAAGCCGATTTCTCTAAGTTAATAAATATAAAATCAAGTTAAAACGCTCGTAACAAAACTTGCCTAATTTTAATAAAAAAATTTAACTTAGTTAATTTACTTTCTTAACGGATAAAGAAAATTGGTAATAAAAAATTGGGGTTAAAAACAAAGTACATCAACGTGTTTATAAGTAGTTAATAAAAATAATGAAAAATGGAAAAGAGAAAATAAAATATACACACACGCATATATAAATTTGATATATCATCACAAAATAAATTACATTTAAGCGTTTGGTTTCTAAATTTGAATATTGTTGCAACATATTTTTACTTTTGGTTTAACTTATTCTCATTATCTTATCATTCTCGCACAACGGCAATCCAACAAAATAACGTTTTCATTATCTATTGTAAACGTCTATCAATACTTTATTGTTATTATCATCATCAATAGTTACAAAATTTTGTTAAAATAATGATTTTTTCGATTTTGTTGTACTTTAGAAATTCTGATAATACAAAATATCTAAAACCGTTACCTATTTTTATAATGTTTCTAAAGACATCCCGAAAGCCGTTAACTACATTATCATATCAATTTAAAAAAATGTCAAATAGAATGTTTAATTTTACAAATTACAAAAGACACAATCCGAGTTAATATAAGAAAAGAAAAACAAAAGATAATGTCCAAACTAATAACATATAAAATATAGTTATGCAGTGATAAAAGATTTCTTCTTATATAAAGAATAAACATTTATATCATCTTTACTAGAACGTCTCTATCATGCTATTTGCTGACACAAATACGAGTTACGTAAATCGAAAACTATTAATATGAGCAAGTAGAGTCGAGAGCCTACAAGGTCACGACACACAGTGCTCATCATAATATTTCACTTTGTCATTCCTTAACAGTAATAATTTTATAACGCAATAAAAATACAACAATAAAATATATAATATTGAATTAATATAATATTCAAATGGCATAATGATGATGTGTCGTAGATAAATCCTAGACTTCAACCATCTTCAGAAACTGAAAAATTATACACGATTAAACATTTCAAAAGAATTATAAATGCCTTTCCAACTATCAAATAATTACTGTATTTCGTGCTTAAGCTCATCATGTTTTTCTTTTCTCCAAACCGATCCAGAATCCGCCTTCAGGTGTCAGATTGAAATCCCTCTTATCGTATACAACAGGCTCGACAGTTTTTTCCGTTTTCTTCAAGATAAATTTTTGCAAGAGATGAGCTATCAGAATCTTGGTCTCCATGAGAGCAAATCGATTACCAATACATTTTCTAGGCCCATGTCCAAAAGGTAAGTAAGTATACGGAACAATATTGTCTTTGTTTTCTTCGCTGAATCTTTCGGGATCAAACTTGTCCGGATTCGGAAAGTATTTGGGATCACGATGTAAACCATAAATGGATATTACCATTACACTACCAGATTCGACGATTACGCTCTTGCAACCCGGCTGCGCCGGAGGCAGCTCGTAATTCGTAGTGCAAAGTCTATCGGTAACAGCCGATGGTGGATATTTTCGGAGCGTCTCGTTAATCACCATGTCCATATAAGTCATCTTCGATAGCGATTCGTACGAAACCTCATTATTTTCGGCAAGATGCTGCTGCACTTCCTCGCGCACGCGATCTTGAATGTTTCGATTAACCGCCAGCTCGTGAGCGACAAAACACATCAGTGTCGAGGATGTTTCAAAACCGGCTAAGAAAAAGATGAAGACTTGCGAAACGATGTCATCTAATGTCATTTTATGGACGCTAGGACCGTTCTTATCCCGAGCCTGCATTAATAAGTGAATCATATCCGGCCTGACGATACCTTGCTCATCTCGAATTTTTATAGTCTCTCCAACAATCCTCTTGAAAAACTCGGCCGTAGACGTTGAGCTGAATCCCGTCATACCGAACAACTTGGCAAAACGCGGGAATGCAAGCATAAACATGAACTTGAACATAGTTAAGAATCCGGTAAAAGCCTTGCTGGTCTCTATTCCCCTCATATAGAACTCGTTATCTTGATTTTTCATAGAATTTACGCTTATGCCAAAAGCCGTTGTGGCGATTACATCAGTAGTGTACCGTCTGAAGATCTGCTTCGTCTCAATCGCATTATAGAGTTCCGGATGATCGACCAGGTAATTGACGAATTCATGAGAACATTTTGATATTAAATCGAACATAATCTTCATCTTGCTAGCGGTGAAAGAGGGACTTAACGTGTTTCTCATTTCCCTCCAGCGATCTCCGCGTAAGGAGAAGATGTTCTTACTGAATAGCGGGTCCAGACTTTCGTCCACGAAGCTGCGATGATCGTGGAAAATTTCGAAGTCCTTTACCAACACATCCTTGATCAATTCAGGATCGCGCAGAAGCACGGCAGGTGTGCCAAATTCCATCATTCCAAGATACTTAGCGTCCGGGATGTAATTGTATAAAAAAAGACTATGGTCGACAAAACTTAAACGGCGCAGAAGTAATTTCCAACCCATTATAAGAGACCATAATGAATCAGGCAGATAAGGAACACCTTTACCTCTCCAGTAAAAGTATGCATGATGCACCAGTGCGATAAATTTCAACACACCGATAATAATTAGAGTGGTCAGTAACAATCCAAAGGGCGACGAAAATAAGAACGAAAATAATTCCATCGCGACGTGAGGACAGCGTACAAACGAATGGCTCCGTCGGACGAGACGTAAAACATAAATATGGACGGGTATAAGCGCGGATCTTATCATGATAGAAATGAAGAGGGGAAAAGAGAAAACGCCTTCCTCGGTATCATCAATTGCTGCGTCAATCGCGCGAAATACGTCAGTCATGTTTTAATTCACGCGTAATATCCATCTAAATCCATTTAGACGTATCATCACACATTCTTGTCAAAAGTTAAAATTATTAATAAAGGAAAATTTCTTTTCTCGTTTGAATAACAACTTATGATATTTTTTCCACATGAAAATACCTTTCAAATGATTCCGCTTAATCGTTACTTGATTCAATTTGTATTACATTCGACGTCACAAATGCCTTTATATTTGAAGACAGCTATTTTTGTGACGCCGAGTATACTTGTGTATAATAAATCTATATGATTATGAGATACAAATTACAATTACAAAAATAAAGAGAATAATAAAAGCTTATCGAATCCATTCTGACTCTTGCACAAAAAAACATTCAACCGTTGCTATCTACTAGGTATAGACTTGGCGACGTTAAATTTGTATCATTCTTTGATATCTTTAGAAAATACTTGCAACAAGAGAAGTATAAGCAAAGTTTTATAATGTCTTATTAAATTAATATATTTATAGTATCGTTTCTTTGTTCGTAAAATTGTTCAGATTTTAAGTAACTGAACTTGCTACAAAAAAAAAAACATGGCATATAATTAGCTATCTGAAAAAGATAGATTAAAAAATAAAGAATTATTCTAATAAACCCAACGCAGAATTAACAACAAAACTTTGATATTAATCTGTATATCAATCGCGTAGATAAGAATTTCGTAAAAATAGTGATTTTTCGATTTTATTGCACTTTAGAAATTTTGATTATAAAAAATATCATCTAAAAAAGTACATTTTTTACAATGTTTCTAAAGACATCCCGAAAGCTATTAACTATATTAGTCATATCAATTTCAGAAAATGTCAAATAAAATGTTTAATTTTACAAATTACAAAAGACATGATCTGAATTTATATAAGAAAAGAAAAACCAAAAAAATTTCTTGAAACTAATAAAATACAAAATATATTTGTGCAGTGATAAAAGATGTCTTCTTATATAAAGAATGAACATCTCTACTAGAACGTCTCTACCATGCTATTTGCTTGATACAAATACGAGTTACGTAAGTCGTTAAAAACCATCAATATGAATAAGTAGAGTCGAAGGCTTACAAGGTCACGACACACAGTGCTCATCATAATATTCCACTTTATCATTCTATACCAGCAATAATTTAATAACGCAATAAAGATAGAACAATAAAATATATAATATTAAATTTATATAATATTCAAATGGCACAATGATGATGAATCGTAGATAGATCCTAGACTCCAAACTTTTTCAGAAACTGAAAAATTATACACCATTAAACATTTTGAAAGAATTATAATTGCATCAATGCTCCTTTTCAACTATCAGAAAATAATTACTCATCACGTTTCTCTTTTCTCCAAACTGATCCAGAATCCGCCTTCAGGTGTCAGGTTGAAATCCTTCTTATCGTATATAACAGGCTCGACAGTTTTTTCCGTTCTCTTCAGGATAAATTTTTGTAAAAGATGAGCTATCAGAATCTTGGTCTCCATGAAAGCAAATCGATTGCCAATACATTTTCTAGGCCCGTGACCAAAAGGTAAGTAAGTATACGGAAAAATGTTATCTTTGTTTTCTTCGCTGAATCTTTCGGGATCAAACTTGTCCGGATTCGGAAAGTATTTGGAATCACGATGTAAACCATAAACAGATATCATCATTACGCTACCAGATTCAACGATTACGCTCTTGCAACCCGGCTGCGACGGAGGCAGCTCGTAATTCTTATTGCAAAGTCTATCGGTAAAAATCGCTGGTGGATACTTTCGGAGTGTCTCGTTAATCACCATATCCATATAAGTCATCTTCGACAGCGATTCGTAAGAGATCTCGTTATTTTCGGTGACATGCTGCTGCACCTCCTTGTGCAAGCGATCTTGAATGTCTTGATTAACCGCCAACTCGTGAGCGACAAAACACATCAACGTCGAGGATGTTTCAAAACCGGCTAAGAAAAAGATGAAAGCTTGCGAAACGATGTCATCTAATGTCATTTTATGAACGCTGGGACCGTTCTTATCCCGAGCCTGCATTAATAAGTGAATCATATCCGGCCTGACGATACCTTGCTCATCTCGAATTTTTATAGTCTCTCCAACAATCCTCTTGAAAAACTCGGCCGTAGACGTTGAGCTGAATACCGTCATACCGAGCAACTTGGCAAAACGCGGAAATATACGCATAAACATGAACTTGAACATAGTTAAGAATCCGGTGAAAGCCTTGCTGGTCTCTATTCCCCTCATATAGAACTCGTTATCTTGATCTTTCATAGAATTTACGCTTATGCCAAAAGCCGTTGTGGCGATTACATCAGTAGTGTACCGTCTGAAGATCTGCTTCGTCTCAATCGCATTATAGAGTTCCGGATGATCGACCAGGTAATTGACGAATTCACGAGAACATTTTGATACTAAATCAAACATAATCTTCATTTTGCTAGCGGTGAAAGAGGGACTCAACGTGTTTCTCATTTCCCTCCAACGATCTCCGCGTAAAGAGAAGATATTCTTACTGAATAGCGGCTCCAGACTGTCGTCCACGAAGCTGCGATGATCGTGGAAAATTTCAAAATCCTTCACCAACATATCCTTGATCAGTTCAGGATCGCGCAGAAGCACGGCAGGTGTGGCAAATTCCATCATTCCACAATACTTAGCGTCTGGGAAGTAATTGTACAAAAAAGAACCATGGTCGACGATACTCAGACGGCGCAGAAATACTTTCCAACCCATTACGAAAGACCGTAATGAATCGGGCAGATAAGGAACACCTTTACCTCTCCAGTAAAAGTATGCATGATATATCAATGCAACAAATTTCAAGATGCCAATGATAATCAGAGTGGTCAGTAACAACCCGAAGGGCGACGAAAATAAGAACGAAAATAATTCCATCGCGACGTGACGACAGCGTACAAACAAATGGCTCCGTCGTACGAGACGTAAAACATACGGACGGTTATAAGCGCGAATCTTATCGTGATAGAAACGAAGAGGGGAGAAGAGGAAACGCCTTTCTCGGTATCATCATTTGTTGCGTCAGTAGTCGCGCGTCAGTCATATTTTAATTCAAGTGCAATAATCCATTTAAGCATATCATCACAAATTCTTGTCAAAAGTTAAAATTTTTAATAAAGGGGAATTTCTTTTCTCGTTTCAATAACAACTTATGATATTTTTTCCAACATGAAAAAACCTTCCGTTTAATCGTCACTTGATTCAATTTGTATTACATTCGGCGTCACAAATGCTTTTATATTTGAAAACAGCTACTTTCGTGACGCCAAATATACTTGTGTATAATGAATCTATACATCTGATTATGAGATTCAAAGTACAATTGCAAAAGTATACAATAACAATTTTTTTTTTAATATCGATTATTTCCGGGAAAAGAAACAAAGAAAATAATAAAAGCTTATCAAATCCATTCTGAATTTTGCACAAAAAAACATTCAACCGTTGCTATCTACAGACTTAGTGACGTTAAATTTGTATCTTTCTCTGATATCTTCAAAAAATACTTGTGACGAGAGAAGTATGAGCAAAGTTTTATAATGTCTTATTGAATTAATGTATTTATAACATCGTTTCTTTGTAGCTATCAGAATCTTGGTCTCCATGAGAGCAAATCGATTACCAATACATTTTCTAGGCCCATGTCCAAAAGGTAAGTAAGTATACGGAACAATATTGTCTTTGTTTTCTTCGCTGAATCTTTCGGGATCAAACTTGTCCGGATTCGGAAAGTATTTGGGATCACGATGTAAACCATAAATGGATATTACCATTACACTACCAGATTCGACGATTACGCTCTTGCAACCCGGCTGCGCCGGAGGCAGCTCGTAATTCGTAGTGCAAAGTCTATCGGTAACAGCCGATGGTGGATATTTTCGGAGCGTCTCGTTAATCACCATGTCCATATAAGTCATCTTCGATAGCGATTCGTACGAAACCTCATTATTTTCGGCAAGATGCTGCTGCACTTCCTCGCGCACGCGATCTTGAATGTTTCGATTAACCGCCAGCTCGTGAGCGACAAAACACATCAGTGTCGAGGATGTTTCAAAACCGGCTAAGAAAAAGATGAAGACTTGCGAAACGATGTCATCTAATGTCATTTTATGGACGCTAGGACCGTTCTTATCCCGAGCCTGCATTAATAAGTGAATCATATCCGGCCTGACGATACCTTGCTCATCTCGAATTTTTATAGTCTCTCCAACAATCCTCTTGAAAAACTCGGCCGTAGACGTTGAGCTGAATACCGTCATACCGAGCAACTTGGCAAAACGCGGAAATATACGCATAAACATGAACTTGAACATAGTTAAGAATCCGGTAAAAGCCTTGCTGGTCTCTATTCCCCTCATATAGAACTCGTTATCTTGATTTTTCATAGAATTTACGCTTATGCCAAAAGCCGTTGTGGCGATTACATCAGTAGTGTACCGTCTGAAGATCTGCTTCGTCTCAATCGCATTATAGAGTTCCGGATGATCGACCAGGTAATTGACGAATTCACGAGAACATTTTGATACTAAATCGAACATACTCTTCATCTTGCTAGCAGTGAAAGAGGGACTTAACGTGTTTCTCATTTCCCTCCAACGATCTCCGCGTAAGGAGAAGATGTTCTTACTGAATAGCGGGTCCAGACTTTCGTCCACGAAGCTGCGATGATCGTGGAACATTTCAAAGTCCTTCACCAACACATCTTTAATCAGTTCAGGATCGCGCAGAAGCACGGCAGGTGTAGCAAATTCCATCATTCCAAGATACTTAGCGTCCGGGAAGTAATTGTATAAAAAAAGACTATGGTCGACAATACTTAAACGGCGCAGAAGTAATTTCCAACCCATTATAAGAGACCATAATGAATCAGGCAGATAAGGAACACCTTTACCTCTCCAGTAAAAGTATCCATGATGCACCAATGCGACAAATTTAAAAACACCGATGATAATCAGAGTGGTCAGTAACAATCCAAAGGGCGACGAAAATAAGAACGAAAATAATTCCATCGCGACGTGGGGATAGTATACAAACGAATGGCTCCGTCAGACGAGACGTAAAATGTATAAATACGGACGAGTATAAGCGCGAATCTTATCGTGAAAGAAATGAAGAGGGGAGAAGAGAAAACGCCTTCCTCGGTATCATCAATTGCTGCGTCAATCGCGCGAAATACGTCAGTCATGTTTTAATTCACGTGTAATATCCATCTAAATCCATTTAGACGTATCATCACAGATTCTTGTCAAAAGTTAAAATTATTAATAAAGGGAAATTTCTTTTCTCGTTTGAATAACAACTTATGATATTTTCTCCACATGAAAATACCTTTTAAATGATTCCGCTTAATCGTTACTTGATTCAATTTGTATTACATTCGACGTCACAAATGCCCTTATATTTGCAGACAGCTATTTTTGTGACGCCGAGTATACTTGTGTATAATGAATCTATATGATTATGAGATACAAATTACAATTACAAAAATAAAGAGAATAATAAAAGCTTATCGAATCCATTCTGACTTTTGCACAAAAAAACATTCAACCGTTGCTATCCACTTGGTATAGACTTGGTAACGTTAAATTTGTATCTTTCTTTGATATCTTTAGAAAATACTTGTAACAAGAGAAGTATAAGCAGAGTCTTATAATGTCTTATTAAGTTAATATATTTATAATATCGTTCTTTGTTCGTAAAATTGTTCACATGTTAAGTAACTAAACTTGCTATAAAAAAATAAACATGGTATATAAGTTGCCTGGAAAAGATTAAAAAATAAAAGCTTATTCTAATAAGCCGAACGCAGAATTAGCAACAAAACTCTGATATTAATCTGTGTATCAATCGCGTAGATAAGAATTTCGTAAAAATAATAATTTTTCGATTTTGTTGCACTTTAGAAATTCTTAAAAATTATAAAAAATATCATCTAAAAATGTTACATTTTTTATAATGTTTCTAAAGGCATCCCGACAGCTATTAACTAAATAAATTGTCATATTAATTTCAGAAAATGTCAAACAAAATGTTTAATTTTACAAATTATAAAAGACATGATCCGAATTAATATAAGAAAAGAGAAACAAAAAAAATTTCTTGAAACTAACAAAATACAAAATATATTTGTGCAGTGATAAAAGATGTCTTCTTATATAAAGAATGAACATCTCTACTAGAACGTCTCTACCATTTGCTGATACAAATACGAGCTCTATTTGCTGATACAAATACGAATTATGAAAATAACTCGTTAAAGTAAGTAAGTCGTTAAAGACCATCAATATGAACAAGTAGAGAAGAGAGCCTACAAGGTCACGACACACAGTGCTCATCATAATATTGTCATTCTTTACCAGTAATAACTATTACTGTATTTCGTATACAAGCTCATCACGTTTCTCTTTTCTCCAAACCGATCCAGAATCCGCCTTCAGGTGTCGGATTGAAATCCCTCTTATTATATACAACAGGCTCGACAGTTTTTTCCGTTCTCTTCAGGATAAATTTTTGCAAGAGATGAGCTATCAGAATCTTGGTCTCCATGAGAGCAAATCGATTGCCAATACATTTTCTAGGCCCGTGTCCAAAAGGTAAGTAAGTATACGGGACAATATTGTCTTTGTTTTCTTCGCTGAATCTTTCGGGATCAAACTTTTCCGGGTCCGGAAAGTATTTGGAATCATGATGTAAACCGTAAACGGATATTATCATTACGCTACCAGATTCGACGATTACGCTCTTGCAACCCGGCTGCGACGGAGGCAGCTCGTAATTTTTAATGCAAAGTCTATCAGTGAAGATCACTGGTGGATACTTTCGGAGTGTCTCGTTAATCACCATGTCCATATAAGTCATCTTTGACAGCGATTCGTAAGAGATCTCGTTATCTTCGACAAGATGCTGCTGCACCTCCTCGCGCACGCGATCTTGAATGTCTTGATTAACCGCCAGCTCGTGAGCGACAAAACACATCAACGTCGAGGATGTTTCAAAACCGGCAAAGAAAAAGATGAAAGCTTGCGAAACGATGTCATCCAATGTCATTTTGTGGACGCTGGGACCGTTCTTGTCCCGAGCCTGCATTAATAAGTGAATCATATCCGGCCTGATAATACCTTGTTCATCTCGAATTTTTATAGTCTCTCCAACAATCCTCTTGAAAAACTCGGCCGTAGACGTTGAGCCGAATCCCGTCATACCGAGCAACTTGGCAAAACGCGGAAACATACGCATAAACATGAACTTGAACATACTTAGAGATGCGGAGAAACTGTTGATCATCTCTATTCCCCTCATATAGAACTCGTTATCTTGATTTTTCATAGAATTTACGCTTATGCCAAAAGCCGTTGTGGCGATTACATCAGTAGTGTACCGTCTGAAGATCTGCTTCGTCTCAATCACATTATAGAGTTCCGGATGATCGACCAGGTAATTGACGAATTCACGAGAACATTTTGATACTAAATCAAACATAATCTTCATTTTGCTAGCGGTGAAAGAGGGACTCAACGTGTTTCTCATTTCCCTCCAACGATCTCCGCGTAAAGAGAAGATATTCTTACTGAATAGCGGCTCCAGACTGTCGTCCACGAAGCTGCGATGATCGTGGAAAATTTCAAAATCCTTCACCAACATATCCTTGATCAGTTCAGGATCGCGCAGAAGCACGGCAGGTGTGGCAAATTCCATCATTCCACAATACTTAGCGTCTGGGAAGTAATTGTACAAAAAAGAACCATGGTCGACGATACTCAGACGGCGCAGAAATACTTTCCAACCCATTACGAAAGACCGTAATGAATCGGGCAGATAAGGAACACCTTTACCTCTCCAGTAAAAGTATGCATGATATATCAATGCAACAAATTTCAAGATGCCAATGATAATCAGAGTGGTCAGTAACAACCCGAAGGGCGACGAAAATAAGAACGAAAATAATTCCATCGCGACGTGACGACAGCGTACAAACAAATGGCTCCGTCGTACGAGACGTAAAACATACGGACGGTTATAAGCGCGAATCTTATCGTGATAGAAACGAAGAGGGGAGAAGAGGAAACGCCTTTCTCGGTATCATCATTTGTTGCGTCAGTAGTCGCGCGTCAGTCATATTTTAATTCAAGTGCAATAATCCATTTAAGCATATCATCACAAATTCTTGTCAAAAGTTAAAATTTTTAATAAAGGGGAATTTCTTTTCTCGTTTCAATAACAACTTATGATATTTTTTCCACATGAAAATACCTTCCAAATGATTTCGTTTAATCGTCACTTGATTCAATTTGTATTACATTCGGCGTCACAAATGCTTTTATATTTGAAAACAGCTACTTTCGTGACGCCAAATATACTTGTGTATAATGAATCTATACATCTGATTATGAGATTCAAAGTACACTTGCAAAAATATACAATAAAAAATTCTTTTAAATATCGATTATATCCGGGAAAAGAAACAAAGAAAATAATAAAAGCTTATCAAACCCATTCCGACTTTCGCAAAAAAAAAAAAATATGCAACCGTTGCTATCTACAGACTTACTGACGTTAAATTTGTATCTTTCTCTGATATCTTTAAAAAATAATTGTGACAAGAGAAGTATGAGCAAAGTTTAACAATGTCTTATTGAATTAATGTATTTATTATAGTATCATTTCTTTGTTCGTAAATTTGTTCAGATTTTAAGTAACTAAACTTGCTACAAAAAGATAAACATGGTATATAATCAGCTTTCTGAAAAAGATTAAAAAATAAAAGCTTATTCTAATAAGCCGAATGTAGAATTAGCAACAAAACTTTAATATTAATCTGTGTCAATCTGCGTAGATAAGAATTTCGTAAAAATAATAATTTTTCGATTTTGTTGCACTTTAGAAATTCTTAAAAATTATAAAAAATATCATCTAAAAATGTTACATTTTTTACAATGTTTTTAAAGGCATCCCGACAGCTATTAACTAAATACATTGTCATATTAATTTCAGAAAATGTCAAACAAAATGTTTAATTTTACAAATTATAAAAGACATGATCCGAATTAATATAAGAAAAGAGAAACAAAAAAACTGTCTTGAAACTAATAAAATACAAAATATTTTTGTGCAGTGATAAAAGATGTCTTCTTATATAAAGAATGAACATCTGTACTAGAACGTCCTTACCATTTGCTAATACAAATACGAGTTATGAAAATAACTCATTAAAGTAAGTCATTAAAAACCATCAATATGAACACGTAGAGTCGAGAGCCTACAAGGTCACGACACACAGTGGTCATCATAATATTTCACTTTGTCATTCTTTACCAACAATAATTTAATAACGCAGTAAAGATAGAACAATAAAATACGTAACATTAAATTTATAGAATATTCAAATGGCACAATAATGATGTGTCGTAGATAAATATTAGATCTCAACCATCTTCAAAAGCTGAAAAATTATACCCGATTAAACATTTTGAAAGAATTATAATTGCGTCAATGCTCCATTTCAACTATGAGAAAATAATTACTGTATTTCGTATACAAGCTCATCACGTTTCTCTTTTCTCCAAACCGATCCAGAATCCGCCTTCAGGTGTCAGACTGAATTCCCTCTTATCGTATACGACAGGCTCGACAGTTTTTTCCGTTGTCTTCAGGATAAATTTTTGCAAGAGATAAGCTATCAGAATCTTGGTCTCCATGAGAGCAAATCGATTGCCAATACATTTTCTAGGCCCGTGTCCAAAAGGTAAATAAGTATACGGAACAATATTGTCTTTGTTTTCTTCGCTGAATCTTTCGGGATCAAACTTGTCCGGATCCGGAAAGTATTTGGGATCACGATGTAAAGCGTAAACGGATATCAACATTACGCTACCAGATTCGACGATTACGCTCTTGCAACCTGGCTGCGACGGAGGCAGCTCGTAATTTTTAATGCAAAGTCTGTCAGTGAAGGTCATTGGTGGATATTTTCGGAGTGTCTCGTTAATCACCATGTCCATATAAGTCATCTTCGACAGCGATTCGTAAGAGATCTCGTTATTTTCGGCGACATGCTGCTGCACCTCCTCGTGCAAGCGATCTTGAATGTCTCGATTAACTGCCAGCTCGTGAGCGACAAAACACATCAGCGTCGAGGATGTTTCAAAACCGGCAAAGAAAAAGATGAAAGCTTGCGAAACAATGTCATCCAATGTCATTTTGTGGACGCTGGGACCGTTCTGCTTGTCCCGAGCCTGCATTAATAAGTGAATCATATCCGGCCTGACAAAACCTTGTTCATCTCGAATTTTTATAGTCTCTCCAACAATCCTCTTGAAAAACTCGGCCGTAGACGTTGAGCCGAATCCCGTCATACCGAGCAACTTGGCAAAACGCGGAAATACACGCATAAACATGAACTTGAACATATTTAGGAATCCGGAGAAAGCCTTAGTCATCTCTATTCCCCTCATATAGAACTCGTTATCTTGATCTTTCATAGAATTTACGCTTATACCAAAAGCCGTTGTGGCGATTACATCAGTGGTGTACCGTCTGAAAATCTGCTTCGTCTCAATCGCATTATAGAGTTCCGGATGATCGACCAGGTAATTGACGAATTCACGAGAACATTTTGATACTAAATCGAACATACTCTTCATCTTGCTAGCAGTGAAAGAGGGACTTAACGTGTTTCTCATTTCCCTCCAGCGATCTCCGCGTAAGGAGAAGATGTTCTTACTGAATAGCGGGTCCAGACTTTCGTCCACGAAGCTGCGATGATCGTGGAAAATTTCGAAGTCCTTCACCAAAACATCCTTGATCAGTTCAGGATCGCGCAGAAACACAACAGGTGTGGCAAATTGCATCATTCCAAGATACTTAGCAGCCGGGAAGTAATTGTACAAAAAAAGACTTTGGTCGACGATACTCAGACGGCGCAGAAATGCTTTCCAACTCATTACGAGAGATCGTAATGAATCGGGCAGGTAAGGAACACCTTTATCTCTCCAGTAAAAGTATTCATGATGTATCAGTGCAACAAATTTCAAGATGCCGATGATAATCAGAGTGCTCAATAACAACCCAATGGGCGACGAAAATAAGAACGAAAATAATTCCATCGCGACGTGAGGATAGCGTACAAACGAATGGTTCCGTCGGACGAGACGTATAAATATGAACGGGTACAAGTGCGGATCTTATCGTGACAGAAACGAAGAGGGGAGAAGAAAAAACGCCTTTCTCGGTATCATCATTTGTTGCGTCAGTAGTCGCGCGTCAATCATATTTTAATTCAAGCGATTCTTGCCAAAAGTTAAAATTTTTAATAAAGGGGAATTTATTTTCTCGTTTCAATAACAACTTATGATATTTTTTTCCACATGAAAAAACCTTCCGTTTAATCGTCACTTGATTCAATTTGTATTACATTCGGCGTCACAAATGCCTTTATATTTGAAAACTGCTACTTTCGTGACGCCGAGTATACTTGTGTATAATGAATCTATATATCTGATTATGAGATTCAAAGTACAATTGCAAAAGTATACAATAACAATTTTTTTTTTAATATCGATTATTTCCGGGAAAAGAAACAAAGAAAATAATAAAAGCTTATCAAATCCATTCTGAATTTTGCACAAAAAAACATTCAACCGTTGCTATCTACAGACTTAGTGACGTTAAATTTGTATCTTTCTCTGATATCTTCAAAAAATACTTGTGACGAGAGAAGTATGAGCAAAGTTTTATAATGTCTTATTGAATTAATGTATTTATAACATCGTTTCTTTGTTCGTAAAATTGTTCAGATTTTTTAAGTAACTAAACTTGCTACAAAAAAAGAAACATTGTATACAATTAGCTTTCTGAAAAAGATAAAAATGATGAAAAAATAAAAAAGATAAACATCAAAGGCTTATTCTAATAAGCCAAACTGTAGGATTAGCAACAAAATTTTGATATTAATCTGTGTATCAATGATAGATAAGAAGTTTTAATCGTAGATAAGAAGACTAAGAATATCGTTGATTCATTGTTTTCAATTCATGATTGATTGTTAATTGATTTTGCTGACACGCATTTTGCTGAGTGTATACATATATTCTTTCTTCTTTTCCTTCTCTCTCTCTCTCTCTCTCTCTATCTCTCTCTCTCTCTCTCTTTGGATGATAAAAATAAATTAAAATATTAAAATATATGTATTTTATTACTCACCAATAAAGACAAAGATTTGATGATGCGAGTAGCGCAGTAACATCGAGATAGACACCGTCTGAAACATGACAAAGAACAAAGGTCTATTATTAAATATTCTCGAATACACAATCATAATTGTCCTCTCTCCTTCTATCTCTTTCTCTAAATTTCTCTTTTTTTCTTTCTCTCTCTCTCTCTCTCTCTCTCTCTCTCTCTCTCTCTCTCTCTCTACCCTTTTTCATTTCTCTCTTTGGATGATAAAAATAAATTAAAATATTAAAATATATGTATTTTATTACTCACCAATAAAGACAAAGATTTGATGATGCGAGTAGCGCAGTAACATCGAGATAGACACCGTCTGAAACATGACAAAGAACAAAGGTCTATTATTAAATATTCTCGAATACACAATCATAATTTCCGACTATATAAAATCACGATGTATACATCGCAATTAGCGCAAATGCGATTGACGTTGATTAAAAATATCGATCCGCGAATTATGAATTACGGATCGTCTGTGATATTTTGCGCGAGTAACTTTGACAAAGTTACGGCGTCACGTAAATTGCGAACTGGTCGCTCGTAGTCGGTTAGCGGGTTGAGCGAATGTTGAAATTGAATTGCGATCGGTTCAGATTGAACCAGCACCTGACACCCTCGAAGATAATCCGTTATTTGCAACAGGCAGCCTTAAGTAATGGGGTCGAGTTGGTCCTACCTTCTATACGAATGCGCAGATGTTATTAAAAAGAAGGAACAAAGAGAATAAGAGCGAGAGAGATAGATAAAGAGTTAATAAAAATTATTTGTTATCAAGCTTCTTCCTACGAGAGAATGACATCGACGCGGTCAAACTTGGCAATTCTTCTTCGCTCAAGCAAAATATAAAAAAAGAGTACAGATATACATATAGAACATTTTTTTTACAAATTGAAATAAAAATCTAATTTGAACACACTTCTATTTCTGTTCAATTAATAATTAACATTTCTCAATTTCTCTTTATATCGCGACTAATAGACATCTCTTATGACAAATCTGACTATCTATACGGTACGGTCAGTCGAATTCGATATAAGAGATGCAAGCCCCAGAGGGTGAAGCGGATGCGAGCGACAAACGCGCAAACACAGAGGCAAAGCAGGAGAAAGATAAAGGAAGTGGGAATAGTATTTCATCATACTGTATCTGTATCGCATTGTAACGGAGCGCCGGACGTCGCGTGCACATGACAGAGGAGATACACACGGGTGATACGTGCACGACGACAGTCGCGTGCACGTGACTAGACCGACAGCGGGCCATCAGCGGGTGCGGGGGATGGCTCAGAGCGAACCCTCTAGGCAACCGGGGGCTCGAATTCACGTGTCGCGCCACGAGCGAGACTCGCAACGCAACCCGCCGCCCTCAATCCTTTACCCGATATATTGGCGCCGCGTTGCAAAGCGAACCGCATTGTCCAGAATCTAAAGAACAAAATATCTCGCCGCTGAGCGGCAATTCGAGTCACGAGGCGTCGCCGTCGTATCGACAAATTCGTGGCGACGTATCCGTCCGTGAATCCGTCCAAGAGGAGTTTTCGCAGTAATAATCTCCCTTTTCCCACCTTCCTCATCTTCTTCCATGAGCAGAAGCGTTCAATTCCCTGACACAATTAAATAAATTTCGAAAATATCTCTGTGGATGTATAATTCTTGTAGACTTTATTTTCTTTGTGCTATTTCTAGAATAATTGTACAAAAAAAAAAGATAATGATTTTAATATTATGCGAGAACGCTTTTTGATACATATATACTATATATGTAAAATATACGTTACCATTGAAAGCATCGCGTCAATTACAAGTTCCGCCGGTGATCTCGAGCGCAGTACGCTGCAATCTATTCTACCACAATTTGATACAAAATTACCGACACGGGGCCACTACGATGAATATGATGCCTCTAATAACCTTGATTTATACCCGACGGTTTCAGCTGCAAAGGGATCGCGCGCGGAGGATAGGACACGGGGGACAGGAAAGCTACGCGCGCAGACTGGTTACTTTAGCGGATGGTTAGCTTGGATTGATTGCCATATCATTTTACACATACGTTAGGTTATCATATAGGCGAGCGTGAAATCGTTCCTCTCTCTCTGATGGAGAAGAATTTATTATCACCGAAAAAAGATGTACGTACCACATACACACGGACTAACTTGAAATTTGATGGCGCACAGCGATCTTCTCGCGACATCTCGATACTTTCGACAGTATGCACTGCATACTTCAATCAATAGGTTTTTTCTAGAGTATTTGTTATTTTATAACGAATCCGGTTGGATGCACTGACGCGCACGAAAGTGCGTCCGATTCTATATTAGTTTTCATTACCAACCACACACAGAAAATTAAGTATAATAAATAATAAATAAAAGATGAATGATAAATAAAAATTGATAAATCGAAATAAATAAATAATAAAACAACCTCGAAAGAATTGATTAAACACATACACACAATAACTATATAAAAAAAAATTTTACATCCCAGTCTCCAAGCATCTATATGTTATACAGAGATTAAATTTTTTGCATTTTACGTTTCTTTCACATAAACATAATTTTTTGTGTATGTTTTTCGTCATAACTAATGTAATATATTGCATAAGGCAATAAACATATTTTACTTTATACATTATCGAATCTTGTATAATGATATAAGCAATCGTTGAATAAATCAAACGTAAAACTCATAAAATACTTACAAATACAAGCATGACGAAAAATGCGGCCAAGTATGATGTTCGCGCCATCCACATGCTCACAAATCGATAATGTTCTCCTGTGACCACATTCCTATACAATTAGAGATTAAACAAATTATTTTTTATTTCGATATATATATCTACAAATTTTTAATGTTTTTATGCATAATTTTATCAATAACATAATTCTATATTAACTATATATATATATGTTACTCACCGCAAAAAACCCTTGTTGTCTTCATGTTCCGCCAACGTCTTGATGCTTGCCATCAACAAATCGTCATAACCCAAAAATTCATCTAATATCAATCTTGAAAATGCATCACCAAAACATTTGTCATTCGACGGATCCAAAGTGACAATTTTGACTGGAATATTTAATCTTTGTCGAGCCGCCGGTGATAATCGCAAGAAACCATATTCCAATGAATATTCCACAATATAGCCATCTTCTGAAAATATTGATAAAAATTTAGTAAAAGAAAAAATACAAAATTAAAATATTATTTTTTACCGAAACAATGTCATTTTTACATATATGAGAAACAGATGATGACATATACATAATAATTTAGACAAGTATTAATTGTACTCAGATTTTTTTATCTACAGTCCCCTCTCCTCAAAAAATTGAGATTTATAGATAATATATTCTATTGAGACATTATTTACCAGCCCTAGCCATTTTATCAACATCCAATGTACGGTCTTTTAAGGGTATCACATTATCTTCATTTGAATGATTACTGGTTTCGGGCACTTCTGTGGAATTACCTTCCGTATTTGGAACAGATGACTTTCCATCAAATAACTAAAAAATAAGAAAATATATAAATATATCATCTTATATATATTAACACATACATAATAAAAGATATTTAAAAAATATTTGCGGTACGAAATATACTTAAAAAATATAATATACTAAAAATCTTATTTCCTATCAGATTATTTTATTATCAATATCTTCAAATTAGAAAACACATGATTAAAAAACACGTACTGTTTCTTTAGCTGTATTTAAACCATTCCAAAGCTTAGTTGATAATGATGGGCTCATTGTTGTATTTGTAGTGCTTAGATCAGAGTTTTGCGTCTCTCCAGAAACTGTTGCACTCCTTATATCTTGCTCAAGTGATGTCAAGTTCTCATGACTTTCTTCAACAGATGCATTTGTAGTGTCCCGTTCTTCATCAACAGCCGATGGTTCAATATTTATAAACCTAACATGACAAAATTAATAAAAATATATAACTGTTTCGCTATGTATACAAAATTTTAAAAGCACTCACATCTCTTCTTATTGTATAAATACTTGAATTTTAACTTACCCATCTCTGGTTAATATTCCTAAAGCATTAGTTAAATCATCAACTTTTTCCTGTCTCAATTTTTCCTCTTTGGCATAACTTTTCTCTATGCTATAATCTTCGCCACCATTTCTGAGAATTTCCACTCTCAATATACCATCCCGTGGCCATTCATCTCTTATATGTTCTAAACAATTAGTTGGTGCACGAGAAAATACTATATGGATATAAGCCAATACAAAAAATGCCAATATTGCCTGTAAAAAAGAATTAAGCAAAATCTTTTAATATTTGTTTAATTTCTTGCTTATTTATTTATGTAGAAAATTTTACTCTTATATGATATTAATCATACTTATATATAAATGTAAATTTAATATAATATAAACATTTTGCAAATATATAT